GTCCCCGCCGGCCGGGCTCGCTGCGGGCTGTGCGCGTTCGGCAAGGACTGTGGCTCCCAGCGACCAGGACCCTCCGCCGTCACCGCCTGAAATCACCACCACCGCACCACGTTGCTATTACCTGATTTATTCCCTCCAAGGAGAATATAAGCAGAGGTGGGAACCGGAAGAGGAAGGGAGGGGAGTAATTTTAGATCTGGGGAGGTGAAAGATGCGCTCGGGGGCGGGGTGGGGTCTGCCCCCTGCCCCTAGGAATCGGCTTGAGCACAGGAGGGAGAGAGCAAAACCCTAGAAAAGAAGGGCAAAAAGGTGAAAGTGCAAAGGGTTTTTCCTAGTTTGTGGGGCACGCATGGCTCAAGAGAGAACGTACTGCTTTAAAACAGTCCTGTAGAGGCCAGGGCGTGGTGGCACATGCTGGACATCCCAGCAGCTCTCGAGAAGCTGAGGCAGGAGGATTTCAAGTTCAAGTCTAGTCTGGAGAACCTAGTGAATAAATAAATAGCAACTCAGACGGGCCAGGGATGTAGCTCAGTGCAAAGGCCCTCAGTTCAGTTCCCACGACCCAAGTCTTTCACCGCCTCTTTAGAATACCTTTACCCTCCTACTCAGCACCAGAAGACCTTGATAAACAGTGGGATGGGATTTTCTAACAAAATGACCAGGGAGCTCACCCGCCTGGGTTGGGGTTAGGGAGGGAGCAGAAAACCAAAGGATCTGGAGGAGTCCACAAGTGAGGCCAGGAAACAGAAAGGGGAAGGGCACTGCCGCCACCTGGCTTGTGGTCAAGCAGGGGATGCAGACACACACAATGCGGGCAGCCCGGCCACTCCAGGGAGGAAGCGCTGGACAGAGCCAGGAGAGAGGGCTGGCTTCCGGCCTGAGTCACCAGCAGGGCTCTGAGGAAGGCAACTGCAGGTCTGCGTGGGGCAGCACAGGTCACTGATGCTGGGGACATCACAGCAGTCTCCTGCCCCCTCTGCTTAGGCAGGAACCCAGCAAGAGACTAGAGCAGAGTCCACTGGGCAGGTGTGGGCATTTGCTCTTTCCCTTTCATGGACCCGACCGTAAGTCCATCCTCCTTTTAGAGACCTGGAGGCCAAGCTGGGCCTGCCCATGGGAGACCGGCATGGAGAGCTCACAGGTCCCTCAGCCAGCGGGGCAGTAACACCCTCATTAGGGCGGAGGGGGCCCTGCGGCACAGGTCGCAGCAGCCACGGCTGCCTGGGCCCCGCAGCCAGTGACAGTGCTGTCAGCAATTTGAGCAGCAGCGTAATTGCTGGCCAGCTGAAGCTCCTGCCTGGCTCCTCACTTCTCATTAGCCCCCTGCCGGGCTGCCACCCTGGCAGATGAGGAAGCGCTGCTGCTAGCTCAGCCCGTCTCCCCTCCTGGACCAGTGGCAGCCGCTCTGTCCCTCCCTCAAACTCTGCAGTCACTTTGTGCCCGTTCTTAGTCCTGCAGCCCTTGAACCACAGAACCAAAGGTGGGAAAGGGAGATGGGCTCCATCCTCAGCCCTCTTGTGTACAGACATCCTGCCATCCCTGCTAGACAGAAAGGAAATGCTCTCTCTCTCTCGCCCTCCATGCCCAGCGCCCAGCAAGAAGAGAAGCAGGTGCCGCTTAGCTCAGGGTGAAGTGTGGACTGGGGCTCACACATCATCTGGGTCCACCTCAGTTGGGATCGAGCAGGGTGGGCAAGACAGCTTGCTGGGGCCAAAGGTGCCCCTCAGATGCTTGTGGTCCTCCCAGGGAAGGCTGGAACCCAAGTGCAAAGGGAAGTAGCAGCACCACAAGCATAAGAAGCATTTTGATTCTGAGGGGAAAGCCCCAGAGGTGAGAGAAATGGGTTCAAAGAAAGCGAGAAAGTGGAGCTTGACAAATCTTTACTATCTTCTGGGGTGTGATCGCCAGGAGCTACAGAGGAGAACCCCAGAGGTGTGCCCCTTGACTCTGCAGGGAGGTGAAGACTGAGATCAGTGACATTCCAGCAGAGAGGACCGTGGCAGCAGGGACCCCGGGTCAGGGACGGGCTTCTGAAGAGGCTGGTGCTGGCAGAGAGAAACAGGAGCAGTGGGTGTGCATAGGGCAGGGTGGGATGGGTCCGGGAGAGGGAGGGCGCCCTGGGCTGCAGTGGTCTTAGGAGCCGGGACAGCTGGGCACGCGCTTGCTCTCATCTGCAGCTGCCCTTCGCCCTGCTCTTCCCTTCTCGTGCCCCAGGCTGTCCCCTGCTCCTCCTCACCATCTCTTCCCATGTGGCTCTCCCCCACCTCCTTCTGCACCCTACATAGCTCCTCCAGTCGTGCCAGGAAGTTTCAGTAACTGGGCCAGAGATGCTCTTTCTTCTACAGTTGTGGTCAACCTGTTTGTCTGAGGGATTTGCATCCTGGAAGCTCCAAGAAACTTTTGGAAAGTCAAGGAAGAAAGAATCAGTTATGATCTATTTTGCAGCCCCATATTATCAAGCAACAGGATTTCTTGATGTCCCATTGCCTCATCCATCGATAGCCCCTCCCAGAAAAGGGGACATTGTTTATTTAATGAGCTGAGCGATAATTCTGGCATCTAATGGGCACCGACTATTGAAGTTCTTGGGTCAGAGTCTTCATTGCTTCCCCTGCCAAGTGCAGAGCCCAACACTCAGCAGTCGTGCTGTGGAGACGACACTGCTGTCTCCGACCCCTCAAGGTCACAGAGCAAGTGTGAGGACAGAGCCAATGCCCAGTCAGGTGCAACATTGTGAGAGAAAAGGCGCTGGGCGGCCAAGGAGGCTCTGGCAGATCTGGGGCCCCCGCCACCTGCTCAGCACCTCTGCCTGTCGCTCCTGAGGCCTGGTGGCAGCCTTCTGTCTTGGGTACCTCTGCACTCCCACTTCAGCCTTGCTTGCTTCTTCGCATGTGCTATTTGGCTACCTTTCATATCCCCCAGTAGCAGATTTTCCCTAAAATACGCTCAGTGCAAATCTAAACCCTCGGAGCACTTAATGGTAAAAATAATAAGTCAGGAAGGTTCTAGTTCCAGTCACAAAGGTTTTAGAAACGCGACGCCTGCCTTCTCCTTTTGACGATTCACTGTGCACATCCGCCTGCTGGAGACTAAGAAATCCTGCACCAGCGCTATCTGCTCAGCTTTATCCTTTTCACCGCAGAAGCCCCCTTTTGATACAAGACCAACTGACATCTCACGGACCTTGGGTTCCACTTGCGGTAAATGTTGCTGGCTTAAAAGATCACCCACAGTAGTGTGAGGAGCACTTCATCTGGCTACTCTCGAAGGTGCAAAGCCCTCTGGAACCAGAGGAGTAATTATTTCACGACAAAGGCAGGGCAGATGGCAGCCCCACTGGCACTTCTGAAATCCCATCACATGGGTGACCACTTACTATGCACAGCCAACCAGTACTTGGGAACCTGCAGAGGTAGGAAAAGGAACCAGGCTCCCCTTTAAAACTCAAAAGCATGCACCTTTTGTTGAAGTTGAGACGTCTCTGCTTAAACAAGTCATTATTTATCTTACACATTTTGTTTAAGAAAACAAACAAACAAACAAAAGCCCATGTGCACACAGAAAAAGAAAATGAGGACAGTGAGAAAGCCCCACTTCACTGAGTTCAAATTTGCTATTAGCACATAACTGCTTAGCTAAAGCAAGTGTTGTGTATGAACACAAGGAAGTGGTAAGTAGTTACTAAGTAAATAGTGCCCATCATGCTTATTTCCATATGTCTGAAAACAAAAATCTGATCAAATTGCAGTAAGAAATTTTGTTTCATCCTTTCTTATACTTAAGAAGTATGTATTTAGGACTTATGCTGTGCAAGATATGCTTTTATCAAGGAAGAAGATGGAAACTTTAAGTGAATAAGCTATCAAATTTGTCCTGAAGGAGACAGCACATTTGCAGGACAGTTATGATGTTGAGTCTCACACTATAAGAAATGGAATTTCCAGGGAGGCCCTTAGAAACCATTCAGTCTACCATCTCACTGATGTATGAAGAAACTGAGGCTCGAGGAAACTGAGGGGCACATTTAGGGGCACCCATCCCTTCAAGGACAAAGCTGAAGCAAATGTCTCCTCCTCCTCTTGAACCCTCTCAAGTCGGAATATGAACAGAGAACTGAGGAGTTGCAAGAAATGGTCTATGAAGGTTCCGAGCAGGGGCCTTGGAAAAATGAGGCATTTGGGCCAGATCTTTAAAAATGAGTAGAACTGTGATGGCTTGGAGAGAGCCCTGAGTGTTATCATGTTCAGGATGAAAGTGTCCCCCAAAAGGCTCATGTGATGGGGCACTGTACTCATGAGTAGATTCGCCCATTGATGAGTTCAGAGACACAAGTGCTGTTACTGGGTGGAGCCTGGATGGAGGAGCTGGGCCTCTGAGTGTGTGACCAGGAAGGGCTTGTCATCCTCCTCTGACCTGTCCCATGTTCTCCTGCTGTGCTGTTTCTGCCTTGGTGCTATCAGTGCATGGACCGGAACCTCTGAACCAAAATCAGTATTTTCTCTTGTAGGTTGCATATGTCCACATTTGGTCCTAGAGACAAAAAGCTGACTAACACACTGAGGAAGGGAGGGCATTCTAGAAGGATGAGGCAGAAAAGGAAAGCTTAGAAATGAAAAGGTACAGGAAGGAGGGTTTGGGTTACAGGAAGAGTCCAACTTGTGATCAGTTATTTGGTAGAGGGAAAGATTTTTGTAATGGAATTGACTCTGAAAAGTAAGTAGAGCCAGAACACTGGGCCATCCATTATCAGACCGAGGACCAGATCAGGACAGGGTGACGTGTTGGAGCCCTGAGTAGGAGCTATAGAGCTCATTCTGTCACCCAAGCAAGCCATGCAGAGGAAAAAGGGCAGCACAGCAGGGAACAGTGGAAGTAAAATGCTACAGATTTAGGAGTCTGAGCAGAGAAAAAATGCTAAGGTTCACAGAACCCTGTGTAGACAGTGAACAATCTTTTTTTTAGTGGGGGCGCTTACCAGGAATCAAACTCAGAACCCTGCACTTGCCAGGCAGGTGTGGCACCACTGAGCTGAGGGATTCTTTCTGGAATACGGAATGAAGGTGATTAACTTTCTTTCCATTAAAACTTTTAGTGTCAACTTACAGGTTATCAATTCATATCTGCAAAGTGGCTCTGGTTTTGTACTTGGTGACAACTTAAATGGAAAGGGAAAGAATTATCAACACTACTCACTCACTCTTCTAGCCCTGCGGGTGACTTTGGGGAGAGACTTCCCCTCCGAGCCGGGAACTACCAGAGTATGTGAAGGACACTAAGGTATCAATCTCGGTCTGGACATGGAGATGTCTTGGTGATGATCTCCGATCCTTCCTATTGACTCGTGTTCTTTCCTTTAAGTGAAATAGGTATCAATTTTTAAATTTAAACTGCTAGGAAAGTCTTCCCTGTGGAAGACCTTGGTACTCAAGCCAGCCTGATCGATATCTGTGTTTTCTAAAACTTTCCCTGTCATCTTTTGCAGTATTGTTCTGCAAAGAGGCAGGGATATTGATAAATGGGTGTTTCAAGGGCCCTTTCAAGCTGATCCGTTGGATGACTTGGATCGATTCATATTTAAATGTGAGGAATCCGAGCTGGATATCATGATGCTGCTGACTGCTCAGACATTTGTCCCTATACAGACATTGATTCATTTAATGGCACACACACTTGGTGTTGCGGTGACACCGGCCTCAGCTGATTGGGACTCCAGGTTGGGTGCTTGCCCCAGCTCCCCCCTGGTGACTTCTGCCATTCCTGTGCAAAGCTGTTCCCTCCCAAGGAGGCCTGCACCAGACGCCAGCGAGCCTGTGAAAACACCTCCCTTCCCTGCGACCGCTGGCTTCCCTGCTGTAGCTGAGAGAGGAGACCTGAAGGACCCAGGCTCCTGTTCGAAGCATGAAATAGGTAAACCTTTTCTCACAAACTCAGAAGAAGTGAAAGGAAGCGGGAAATAAAAAAACAGGAAAAGACAGAGACAGGAAGAAAAAGGATTCAAGATCAACTCACTCTGCTGAGAGATGCTCTGCAAAAGATCATGACAGAGAAGCCCCGGATGTTTGTGTGTAGCAAGAAATCATGTGTCTCGCACAGTAGTAATTAAAACCTCTCAGTCAGATGCTATAGAGAGATTAGTTGTCACAATGTGTTAAAGGAATCCTCGCCTTATTCCCTAGAAGGGGACGGACTGCCTGCTGTCCTGTCATCTGTTCCTGGGCTAGAGTGACCCTCAGCCTGAACACCTCCCTCACAGGGAGCTCTCTGCCTGCTACATCAGAGGGAAAACAGACCTGCAGTGACGGGCCCAGCTACTCCAACCCTGGGCTCTGACAACTGCCCCATCCTGCTTCAATAAGATCCTCCGTACTGCTTGGAAATTCTCACTTTGCAGAAGACAATTTGGAAAGTTCAGCAGGCAACTAAGAAAGGCAGGCAACGGAGCAATAAGGGAGCACTGGACCAGAAAGAAGCTTGGCCTGGAATTCAGGGCAGGGAGTTTCTGGTATTGAACTCTTCCAGGCAGCATGAGACCTCATAAGAGTCCTTCAGCTTCCTCACATGCAAACTGAAGAATCTCTCCGTTCCAACACAACAGTAATTCTATTATTCTACACAAGTAGGATAGATTTTGTGGTCAACAAGTTGAAGAACAGTGAGGTCCTTGGATAATTTATTGCCAAATATACATGAGATTCAGTCAGACATTCTGTCAGCTTTCTTAAAAGGTAAATCCAGCCAAATCAATTTTGTTTTCATTTTATTGATTGCTGTTTTGATTGAGTTGATGGACCAAACCATTGATCCTCACCCAAAGGATCTGCCGGTACTATCCTGGGAGTCTGCAGACACCTGTTCTCCACCTGGGATGGCAAGCCCAGGGCACATATGCCACAGCAGGCTGTTGCATCATTGAAAGCTCTAGAAGTTCCCCATCACTGATTTGTTTGTTTTTGCTTCATTGTAATCAAATTTGTCCTTGTATTGTATTTATGTGATGCTTTTGCCTGAAAGCTACTTGCAGGCAAGAAATATGTCTTTGTCACCATCAAGACACTCAAAAAGCAACTCACAGAACTGGTAGTACACTCATTACTACATAGACAGAATACAAAGAAACTATTTGCAAATTATGTATCTGATGGGGGTCTATATCTACAATGTAGAAAGAATACCTGCAGCTTAATCATAAAATGACCATTAATAAACAATCCAGTCAATGAATAACCTAATTTGAAAATGGGCAAAGGACCTAAGCAAGTATTCCTCCAAAGAAGATGTGCAAATGGCACATGAAAAATGGTCAATATTACCAGTCATGAGGAAAACGAAAATGAAAGCAACTAGAAAATATCTTACTCCCACTAGCATGGCTGGAATAAAAGTGACAGCTAACAAGTGTATGCAAGCTAATGGAGAAATTAACACTCTCACATAGCTGGAGGGATTGTAAAATAAAAGTGCCACCACTTTGGTACACAATCTAACAGTGCCCAAAAGGTTAGAGTTACCATATAATGCAGCAATTCCACTCCTAGCTATTTATCCAAGAGAAAGTAAAGCATATATCCACATAAAAATTTGTACATTAATTTTCAAAGGAGTATTATTCATAATAGCCCAAAGTGGAAATATCACACGTGTCCATCAGTGGATGAATAAATATGTCAATATACACAGAAAGACCATAATTTCCCTATAAAAAGAAAGGAAGTCCTATACATGTCATAACATGGATAAGCCTTGAAAAAAATTCTGCTAAGTGAAAGAAATCTGTCACCAAAAAAATCACACATTGGATAATTCCAGCTATATGAGATGTCTAGAATAGGCAAAGTTATGGATACAGAAAGTAAACTAATAATTTCCAAAAGATGAGAATTGAGGGACTAATTTGCTGGCAGAGGTTTTTTATAGAGGGGTTGATGAAAATGTTCTAAAACTGATTATAATGACGATTGCACAATTCTGTAAATGTTCTACAACTAAAAGAATTATACATTTTAAATCGATGAATTATATGCTATGTTAATTGTATATCAATAAAGCTGGGAAGGAAAAAAGAGGAAGGAAAGAAAGGAGGGAGGGAAAGTTAGTTCATCTATCTGAGAACAAGTTAGTCACGTTCCTCTTTTCAAAAAACATTAATGTAAATTGATTTGATGATGATGATGATGATGATGATAACCTGGATCATGGAGAGATTTTTTTTTTTTTGGCTTTAAACTCAAACTGTTCTCTCAGGAAACATTTGGCTGCAACTACACAATTATGGAAAAGTGAAAACTCAGTTAGAGTCACTGTGTTGTTAGGCCCACATGACATGGAAGTCCCCTCATGCATGGCCCAACATGGTAGGGGATGGGCAGGCATGAGGTGCTGTGACCCTCTTCATGCATGTCCCTCGTGATGGTCTGGAAGACTCAGCACCACTTAATAACCAGGACCAATAGCTTTATTTGCCCTACGTCATCCCACCACTCACTCATCGTTTATAAAGCTGTGAGTTCTCTCAAGTCCAGAACATGCTCCTAACATTTTCAGGAAGTACATCCTATCAGATGACCTAGAATGGATTACATTCACTAATGACAAACTACTGTCTCAGAGACTGCTTTTTGATAAAAGTATCTGTCCTCTCCTTCTTCTACAGAAATCACGTTTTAGTTGGCTACCAAGAAGCTGAGTCGGGTGGCATGATTTAAGTGCTGGCCAGCAGAATGTGAGTAGAAGTGACATATACCACTCCTGGATTTTCTTAAATGGAGTTGGCTTTTATTTACTTCCTGGCCCTCCTAAAGAGACACCCAAGTTAAGCATTGTGGAAAGCACCTTTGTGCATAAAATAATATATTTTTGCATGCAAAAGTGAGAATTTAATGCAGGGCTTTCACACTAGACTTCTTCATCTTTTTCCCCCCCTTTGAGACAGAGCCTTCCTAAATTGCCAAGTTGCTCAGGCTAAGCTTGAATGTGTGATCTTCCTGCCTCAACCTCCCAGAGTGCTGGGATTACAGGAAGAATAACGTCTCTTAAGAGGACAAAGTTGTCCTACCACCTCTAAGCCACATAACCAGTGCTGGACTGATACATGAGGAAAAAAAAAAAAGAATTTATATCTTATTTAACCCACTGCATTCTGGGATGTCTGTTATAGCGACTTAGACTGTGCTCAAGTTGACATAGCTAGTCTGTCAGGTGAACACAAGCCCTAAATCAAATGCCAGTCTTTAATTCCCACAGTTTATATTTCTCAAAAAAGAAATGTTTAATTCATTCTGTGAAGCATCCTATTCTTATTTAGTATTTGGAACCAAGGGATACTGAATTAGAAGCTCTTTTATGAAATATTATTGGGAGGTTGGTTGTTAATCAAGATAAGTTAGAGAATCATTTCAAAGTGTCACCGTGGTCCATTAAACATTTTATTTTAATATGTATAGGATACGTCCGAGAAGTCTCTTGAAAAGAAAGAGGTGAGGCTCTCTGCCCTGCTCATGAATGAATGGGGATTTAAGGGTCATTCTGGACCACGAGGATGGCAGTCACGTTCTAGGGACCATGCAACAGAAAGCTGGAGGGAGACTGGAGCCTCCAGGAACCATTGTGTGCACCTAGACTGTCTGCTTCTGGTCTCAGTCTCACAAGAGACACTGTGGGCATCATCCTGTAGCTTTTATGGAAGGAACGGAGATGGTTGATACAGCACTGTTGATTAAAGGGCAATCAGTTATAATGGATGAACAGAGGTTTAGAACAAAGCCAATTAGATAGCTTGGCAGCGTATCTCTTCACGTTAAAGACGGCTTGAGGAATGTTTCTGTCCACAGGGACAAACTTCACTCTTATAACCAGAATTCATGCAACCACTGAATACATCCTTTCCTATCGTCTCTGGTGATATTAAAGACTTCTGACAATTTAAAACATTTTGATTCTGATTTCAGAAGTCATCGTAAATTCAATGTATAATGCAAGGCAAGTCCCTATAAAATAGAATCAGCTGCAATTTAATTGGCCTTTTTAGCCACAAATAATTCTCTTATGTGCTGGCTACAATTATTGCCTTGGCTTTATTATCCATGTCCCATAATTAGCTGAACTAAAATTAACCTGAGCGACTGCACCTCAAATGTGTTTAGTTATACACACTGCCAAAGTGGGGTTTGTGTAGCTTACCGAGGTCCAAGTCAGAGGGGATTTGAAGTTCATTTACCAGATCTGTGAATTACTGTACTTCCTAAGGAAAATTCCACTTCTGTCATCCTGAGACATGGTACAGAATCTTTGAAAGACCTGTCAGGAAAAGCAGAAAAATGACTAAATGACTAAATAAGTGTGTGTCCTGTATTAGTCTGTAAAACGATTTAAAATAAGACATGAAATACAATTGTAGGCACAATAAACTAATCATAAAATAAAACAATCAGTACCATGCATTCATTTATTCCTCAGTAACTGCAGGCTTATGGTGTACAGTTGTTGCTCCCAAGACATGTCTGAGCTCTGGGTATCTGAGTGGCGTGCTCTGGCCCATGCGATTGCATGTAAGTGATGTGTGTTACTTCCAAGCTAAAATATGTACAGTCCTGTGCACTTTCTCTTTCCTTCTGTTGTGAACTTAAAGAGGCTTGAAGGTGATGGTGTTAAGGGATGAAAGGAACTTGGATCCGTGAATAGCCATTTGCTGGGAAACCTTTCAGCAAAACCAGTGAACAAGAAACACCACACTGGATTTTAGTGTGAACAAGAAGCCCATATTTTTCTGCAACGTTTAACCTGCCTTAGCTAATGCCAGATATGCACAGAGTATGTACATTTTCTATTTATTACAAACAACCGGTCCTATTATTACAATCTTATTCCATTGTTAAGTAACTCTACTATTAAGGGGTCATGAAATCCCTTTGGGGATCTTAAAATCCTTCTTTGTACAACAAACTCTCCCCAAATTAATTGCATTTTGGCAAGCACCTCTCACATATATTTACAAGTTAAAGTTTTTCACAGACGACTGCCTAGTTTACTGAGTGGAATGTTGAAAAAGATAACAAATGAGACCTTTGGGTGTCTGCACATTTTTAGTGGGTTATATTTCAAGATTAGATGGAGTGCAGAACCTGAGGCAAAGGACGCCCCCGTCGAAGACGGTGGGTCGGAGGTTGCATCCTCAGAACACAGTCACGCTCTGCTCGCCCATTGCTTGCTTTATCCTACCAGACTCACAAACCCACACACATTTCCAGAAAATAGAGAGCTCAGAGCATCAGACTCTTTTTCCTCTCTCCCATCTTCTCTCCCTCCACTTTCCAGTTTCCAGAACTTTGAGCAAGACCTTGTGAAAGTTTTTTTTTTCTATTAAATTTGTGCTATATTTTTCTAGTTTCCTTTTCTTAAAAAAAAAAAAAAAAAACTTTTGAATGGCTTCTATGCCTTTTGTATCACTACATTTTCCATATTGTCTTGGGTTTGATTGTGTTCACATGGGAACTGGTGTAGAAGTGTCAAATAACCACATATAGTGGTCTTCCTGCATCAAAACTACTGAAAACTCTGGCGCTTAGAGACGGTCCCATCACCTCTTGTCACGACAAGAGGGTCACGACATGTCTATGTCAAAAATTCTTATATATTTCTTTTATAAGATGAAAGAAGGTCTATTTTTCTGTTTTACTAAGGTCTATGTGTGAAACACTGCAAATGCCCACCAAACAATAAAAATATTTAAAAAATGAATAAAGGAGAGGATGAGAACAGCTTTATAGACAAGTGAAAGAAGTTTCCAAAGCAGCACTTACTACTACCAAGTGCAGTGTTGTCAAAGTTTTTCTGCTTTATTTCCATTTATAAAATGCCGATTGAAAGCTAATAAGCTGTTTTCACAAACCACTGACATGGTCAAGTTCTTTGTTTGAAAACTGCCTCATTTAGTCTGTGTCACCCCTCCCATCTGTGCTCTTTCCTTAAATAAAATCTGCGCTACAGAAAGGGTATGGGAGCTGGGCATGGAGGTGCTCATCTGTAACCCCAGCCCTCTGGGAAGCGACAAGAGGATGGCAAGCAAGTTCAGGTACAGACAGCCAAGCAACTCAGTGAAAGCCTATCTCAAAGTAAAAAGTACAGGAATGTAGCTCAATGTGAAGACCCTCATTCAATCCCGGGGTACCACAAACACACACACACACACACACACACACACACACACACACAAGGGGATGTGGTCTCAGACTTCACTGCTATTTGGGGAACTGGGTCAAATTTTATCACTTTCACGAGGAATATTTCAGTTCTTATTCTTATTCTTAGAACTAAACGAAGTCTCTGGTCTCTTTTTCTTTGAAGGAATGAATCAACTCGGAAAGGTAAAGTTCTTAGCATAGGTAGCTAGAGATTTTGGGACTAGAACCCTGGTCCTGCGATATGGGGTCCCTTCCAATTTTCACTCTACCAGTTTCCTAAGTCAATAAACTGTGCTTTCTCGCAATCGATTCGGAGACTAATGAGATGTGAAAAGAACTCTCACAGAGGCAAGGTACTGCTTCTGTAGAAGGCCCTCAAGTCGTATTTAATGATGAGTTTGTTTATTCACTTGTCTATTTATGTATTTGTACTGGTCCAATAAGATCCTTCACTTCATTTCATGAAGTATCTACTCTTTCATACAGTTCTAGTGGGGTTTTGTTTGGCTGTGGCGGTGGTGGTAAATCATAACTGAAACTTACCACTTTAACCATTCTTTAAGTCCACAGCTCACAGTATTAAGTGCATTCACACTGTGGTACAGCAATTACCACCATCCCGCCCCAGAATTCTTCATCTTATAAAACTGAAAAGTTGTATCCCTTGAGCAATAACACTGAATCCGCCCCTCCTCCTGTTGCCTGGCAACCACCATTCTTTTCTCTGCCTCCTCTCTCTTTCTTTCTTCCTTCCTTCCTTCCTTCCTTCTTTCTTTCTCTCTCTCTCTCTCTCTCTCTCTCTCTCTCTCTCTCTCTCTTTCTTTCTTGCTTTCTTTCTTTCTTGCTTTCTTTGTAGGTAACATTTTACACCGAAACCACCCAGCAAATGGATATAGCACAGCAAGAGCAATAGCCGGCTGTATTTCCCGGCGGATGCTCACCGCAGTCTGGTTTCAGTGTCACTCCTTAGCTCAGCAGGTGGCGCTGTCTGACATCGGTTGCCTCCCAAGTAGCCCATGGTCGAGGAAGGAGGAATGGGTAACCCTCAGAGCCTGCACTGGGGGGAAGGCAGGAAAGGGCAGCGAAGAGGCAAACGCTGATCAGCCCTGCACCCTGCCCACCGGGGCCGCGTCTCTGTAGACGGGCAGAGGCAGACACTGTGACTGACAGCGATAAAGATGGAGCAGCTGGTGCCCATTAATAACCACAGGCTCCCGGGAATTTGTTCCCCAACACTCACAGATGAGGATCAACGGTGCAGACTGTTGTCAGGGTGTTCTGGGAGCAACCTGGGTCACCCTGGAGGCACGACTGCACGCCCTTCACCTTTTCAACTTGCTTTCCTAGGTGCCTGTGACATTTATTTCCTGACCTCAGGGTGACATCTCATAAAGACAAAATTACTCCAAGTCAGTACTTTTGAAGCCATCAGGTTTAATCCATGTAAATCATTACTGTAAATGACAGCAGCCATTCTGGACCCGGCTATCTCTATTCCCCTATAGGGGCACTGAGAAATCTTCTCTTATTGCCTTCAAATTTGTCACCAACAAAATTCATTTCTTCTCCAGTTCACACTTAGTCCCTTTGGTTAATGATAGGCTCATCTTGTGTAGACAAGATCAGCAATTTGCAAAAGTCATTTTGTGAGCCAGAGGGAGCCATTGCCATAAAGTGAGAGAAGTCGGTGAAAGCCATGGGTAATCAGCCTCTCCAGTGGCCCTGGTAGAAAAACACAGTAAAACAGTAATGAGTAGCCGGTTGGATGTCTCTAATAACAGGGTAGTGCCTTCAGGTTGCATTCCACACCAAGACAAACCCGAAAGTGGCAAGTTTGCAGAAGCAACAGTCCACTCTTCAGGAGCAGCATGGCTGTATTTGCCAAAACTTCTACCAATAAACCTAAATGACATCTAGAGAAAGTAGAGCCAGAAGCTTCAGTTCAAATTTAAGCTTCTCCTCCCACGGGCTGTGAAATTTGAATAAGGCAAACATTGGCGGAGCCTATTTTTTTCTTTTGGAAAAAACTGATATAATACCCATGTGTCCCTGCCTTCTTTGTAGGAAGGGAACGATAAAATGATGCAGACACCTTCATGGTTAGAGCCTTAGAGAAAGCCATCCAGCCAAGTGTATGCCATGTGTGCAGTCACATGTAGAAACACAGACACACATTCATGGAGGCAAAGCATTGGTATTAATTTCATCATTAATAATTCTTTGGCTGTGTGTCAAGCAACTGCCCTTCTGCCCTAGGGAAATTCACACAATTCTATAAAATCAGTGGAAGCTGAACAAAATGTAGAGCCATTTGCAGATTTAATGCATCTAAAAACAAAGGACATCTAAGGTAACCACTGCTGGGTCCAGCATGTTCTGAACGGTTCTGTCTTCCTCAAGGGGCTCTGCACTCCTGTATCCCAGGAGCTTCCTGTGATGCATACAGAGGTAATCATCCAACAGGCATCCAAAGAATTCTTTTTTAAATGGAAAAGGTAAACCAGGCTAGCTTATTCCATCCTGAAAGTTGAAAATGATGTAAGTAAAAGGACCTGTGAACAAATTACATGGATCTGTATGTGCATCTTCACTTGTCTGGGAATCTGCCTGTACAGTGCAAATCATGCATCCATTCCTAGCAATATCTCCCACAATGCATTGCCTGTTTGTCTGCCTCTATAGGCAGAGTACTGAGGTCAGCAGTCTTATCTATC